TGGAGAAAACATACAAACTCCACACAGACAGCACCCCAAGAACTGAACCTAGGGCCCAGTACTGAGGCAGTAATGCTAACCACTGTGCCTCCATGCCAAGCTCCATCAGTTTTTTTTTTGTCATGACATTAATTTGCAAAAATCCTTGATCTACTTTATACTGTAGTGTATTCCTATACTTGCTAATATTTGACTATACACAGCATATGCATTGCATAATAATGGAGGTTTAAATTTGGACCAGGTTATTTCACATACAGCCAATATAACCAGACCTTTGTTTTATAATGTATTAAAATTGAGTTTGGTTTGTAAGTGCTCACATTATATGCAGCATTCTAAGAGTAATAACGTTTGGTATGGTACGATTAAAATGTCCACAATTTTGAAGACATTTAAAATAAAAAAGCAGTCTTTTTTTAATTGAAAAAAAATGGCCATCCCTAGTTTTCCCCAGGTGCTCTGGTTACCTCCTGTTACCAGGCAGGTCGTGCTTGATTGGCTGCTCTGAATCGTCTCGGTGGTGATGGGGGGGCAGGGTTGACCCCAGTGTTCTGGTGCTGTGCCACGAGTGGGAGGTGCTGGGCTCAAGCTGCTGGGCTTGTGTGTCAGCCCCCTGCTCCTGTTGCTGGGAGTGTAATATGACAGTCAGTCTAGTACTGCAGTCTCCCCTGCCCGTATGCGCAGCCAGGCTCCTGGAGCTGCGTACTGCAGTCTCCCCCGCTTGTATGCACAGCCGGTCTCCTTGAGCTGCGTGCTGCAATCTCCCCTGCTTGTATGCGCAGCCAGGCTTCTTGAGCTGCGTACTGCACTCTCCCCTGCTCGTATGCGCAGCCGGGCTCCTGGAGCTGCGTACTGTAGTCTCCCCCACTTGTATGCGCAGCCAAGCTCCTGGAACTGCGTACTGCAGTCTCCCCCGCCTGTATACTAACCCAGGCTCCTGGAGCTGCGTACTCCAGCTCTTCCATCTGTTTGTTCAGCCGATTATTATTATTATTATTAATGCTCTGATGAGAAATTGTTAATAGAATGTTTGAGCTCATCAAGGAGAGCATACTGGAAGCCTCTTACAGATGTCACTCCTGAGAGTACCTGTTCCTGTGGCGGTCTGGAAATCCAGCCTCATGCCTACTGTTGACCTGGGTCTCTGCGATTCGACAAGAGAGGGTTTGGGTTTGTTGGCTTGTTAGTTACCGTAGCTGGTTTCAGTTGACTGTGTATAGTGAGTAGCTGTGCCACAGCTGGGTGACAACACGAGGGGCGGGGTGCGTCAGAGTGTGGCACAGGGCACTGTGACAGAGGCTCCAATTGAGCGCCTTTGTGCTGTGTTTCCTAGCAGATCAAAGAGAAAGGAACAGACCCCAGGGTTACCCATGCTTCTGCCTACACGCCTGTTTTTTACCTGTATCATAGTGGAGAAATGCAGGAATTCACAGTGCCGTTCAGCTGTTTGAAATAAGTGTTAATTTGTGGTTCAGAAATTGCTTGATTTAGAGAAGGCGCACGCAAGGTGCGTCTTGCCTGGTGTTTCAGGCAGTTTTTCTAGAAGTTTTATAGTCTGAGTACAGCTCTGATCACTCGGTGTTATTGCCACAAAGGGGTGTTTGCAAAAGATCACTGCACATGCATTATAACTGTACAGAATACCTGCACACCTGGCACGATGGCGTTTTCTGATGGGTATTCCCACCTTTCACTTATGTCTGCTATATCTCCTGCAACAGGTGTCTGTGATTTCAACTGCACTCAGGTTGGGTTCTGCAGTAAACTGCCCTACGGTTGTGCGAGCATGCTCACTGCCGGACATCGCCCACAGTCCCTGCAGCAGGACGGAGTCTGTGCTCTTAGGGTTTCAAGGTGTCTGTGACCCCAGCTGAATATTGACAGACGCCCGACAACTCGGTGACCCTCCCGTCAGTAGAGGAGGAGTGCACGTGGCGCCCGTGTTCCTCCGAAAAATCTCTGTCCTGCATGGCTGGCAGGGCATCCTCTCTGCACACAGTGCCCAGACCAGCGCATGCCACGGGGGCATGCTACTCCGGCACACCCAAGCCCACCCAGCCTCCCGGGCAATTCTGCTTTACCGGCTGGTGGGTTAAAAACCCCCTGTGGCTCTAAGCAGTCTCACTGCATGCGGTGCGGACCAGTCGCGGCTCTGTTCCTCTGCGTCTGAAGAAAAGGACTTCTTGAATTCCTTCTGCCAGAGTGCCAGTTCGCCAGCCCAGCCTTGTCTCAGCCACTTCTCAGTTTACAGAGTCAATGTCATCCCAGCTCCCTTCCAGCAAGCCCCGCGGGTAACCTAATAAGTCCCTGCACGAGTGTCTGTTCTGAGAGCAGGCCTGTGCGCGGGGTCTCTGTGCCCTGCTTGTGAAAACCCCTCCTGCTCGGGAACCCTGCGCGTGTGTCAGCCTCATCCTCCCCTGGTGTAAAAGGCTGATTCTGCAGGATGTCGAGCGGGGATGACCTCTCTGGCGCTCTGTCTTTCAGCCTGGGTAAGCAGCTCTGCTAGTGTGTCAGCAGTCGCTTTGTCTCCCAAAGCGGCGCGGTGCCCCTCTGGGAAGGGGCGCTTAGACAGCGGGGTCTCTGCCAGCTGCCAGTCTCGGGTTTAGGGCTTTGTCTTCAGATTGATGGAAGAAGAGAAGGATGATGGCCAGCAGCCATATCACCCTGTAATTCACAACTGGCAGCCCACTAAAGCTCAGCAGGTGTGAGCCTGGTCAGTACCTGGATGGGAGTCCTCCTGGGAAATACTAAGGTTGCTGCTAGAAGAGGTGTTAGTGGGACCAGTAGGGGGCGCTCACCCTGCAGTCTGTGTGGGTTCTAATACCCCGGTATAGTGACGGGGACACTGTACTGTAAAAAGGTGCCATCCTTCAGATGAGACATAAAACCGAGGTCCTGACTCTCTGTGGTCCCAGGGTGTTTCTCGAAAAGAGTAGGGGTGTTACACCAACGTCTTGGCCAAATTTCCCCGTTGGTTTTTACCTATCATGGCCTCCTAATAATCCCCCTCTCTGAACTGGCTTCATCACTCTGTTCTCTTCCCCACTGATAGCTGGTGTGTGGTGAGGGTACTGGTCACTATGGCTGCCTTCGCATCATCCAGGTGGGGCTGCACACTGGTGGTGGTGGAGGGGAGTCCCCATTACCTGTAAAGCACTTTGACTGGACTGTCCGTATGTGGAGTGTCTAAGTGTAGGGAGTATATGTTTTGTTTTTTACAATAACAGCCCTTGCCTGACTGTTAACAGACCCTCAGCTGATCTTGAAATCAAATCCCAGAGTTTTCCGATTCCTCATTCTTCATCGCCATGTTCATGGTGTGTGGACTGGATGTGTGAAACACACAGATGTCAAGAAAGATGGGTGACCCGTTGAAACAGCTGTCCTAGAATGTAATTTGATAGTTGCGTGTATTTACTGTAGGTTGAATCCAGCAGGGTTTTGGCAGTCATGCTCTGTATCCACACTGTACTATTTTAGCTCTGCCAGTTTCATGTTGTCTGCAAGACACTTTTTACTCTACCACCTTGTCACTATGTCCCCCTAGACAAGGGTATCTGCTAGGCAGGTTAGATAAACCCAAATGAAATGCAGTGCACATAGAAACAGGACCTCCAAGAACATGGGCAGCCTCAGTGGCCGGTGGTGGGGCTGTGTGAGTCACCTCTGGCATGATGGGATGATCTTGCGCTAATGCCTTCTGGAGATAGAGGTAGAGAAGTTTATTGCCATATGTACGTGTACATTGAAATTCTTACTAGCGCCTATGCCTCAGGACATGCGCGGTACTGCAGACAACACAGTGTAACAGCCAACACCATACAATGTAAACACAACATTACAAAACGGTACATGATAAATAGTAACAACCAGAAGAATAAATAAGTTGTAGAAAAATTCTGCAGTGTGTATGTCATCATCCTTGGCGGTGTGTTCTTTATAGCCTTGTTGCTGGACCTTCACCGAAGCCCAGTGCTGCATGCTAAGTCGTTTGAGGAGTCCAGTTAGCGTATCTCCCCGCGTGCTCGAGTGAACGCGTGAGCCGTGGGCCTCTGGAAGCCGTCTCTGTGTCGTGCTCTTCGCGACGGGCTGTTATGTTGTCGCTCTTGTGACCGGCAGCGTTCCGGGTCTTGTGTTTCCTCAGAGTTCGGAGTTCACCTAGCAGAGCTGACTGTGGACACCCAGGGGGCCCTCGCTATTCGGCAGGTGAGCACAAACAAGTTCTGGGTGCCGGACTGTCCTGCAGCGCTCAGTGAAGGACTCTCCAGTTGTGCAGATGTATTGGAACAGCACTGTGCCGTAGCTATTCAGAGATAGAGGCGTCAGCGTTGCTCATAATAATTAAAGAAAGTCCTGATAGCAGCGCACCGTGTTGTTTACGTGTTATATGCCATGTTGAAGACGTTATCACCTTCATTTACACTACCTGTACAGGAGTTACTATCAGCTGCTTGTAAGAGCATATAGGTCAGGCCCTGCGCATCCTTGGGCCACAATTGGAGCTCTGTGTTACTATTATCACTGGTTGAGGGCTTAGCATTGTAACATGTCATGGAACTGGACATCCTCCCATATTACTAAACGTGAATTGGAAGCAGATGTCCAAAGCTGTAAATGCAGCTGTTCCGCACAAGCAGAAGACTTTTTTTTTTTGTTTGTTCACAGGTCGGAATCCCTTCAGAGCTTTCCACTTTTACTTAAAGCTTATTTTCACTTATATTAATAATATTGACTTCTAAGTGAAAATAAAACGGTGATGCTGTGCTTCCCTGTGAAAGTGGGCCCCTCTCTCTCTGTCTCCTCAGCTGGCCTCCGTCATCCTGAAGCAGTATGTGGAGACCCACTGGTGTGCCCAGTCGGAGAAGTTCCGGCCCCCTGAAACGACGGACAGGGTAAGGACACCACGGCCTGGTTGTTGTGACCTTTCACCTCGGAAGCTTCCCGGAGGTGTAGCAGCTGTCTCTCAATTAAGATGGCACAGGAAAGTGGTTTTAACATTATTGAAAGCTGGAGAAAGTGTCCAAATTGCTTTGCATTTGGCAAGCACAGGAGAATCTGCACCCATCCTCTTTAAACATCGTATAGTTACATCAGGGAAATGTAAAATTACGTGTTAGAAGAGAATGATGTGTTATAACTATCTCTTGCCTTTCACGGTACTGGGTTGTTTCTAGGTTCCTGTCTCTCTTTGTGCTAGTAAGGCTCTCGCTGTGGAGTTCAGGATTGTAGAAATACCATTGCCTGCCCTCCTGACCGCGGCTCTCTCGCCAGGCCAAAGCGGCGATCCGCCAGCTGCTGCCCGGCGGCCTGCGGGAGTCCATCAGCAAGGTGCGCTCCAGCGTGGCCTACGCGGTGTCGGCCATCGCGCACTGGGACTGGCCGGAGGCCTGGCCCGAGCTCTTCAACCTGCTGATGGAGATGCTGGTCAGCGGGGACGTGTTCGCCGTGCACGGAGCCATGAGGGTGCTCACAGGTACCGCAGGGCGGGCTCCTGGGGGGACGGGGTCTCGGGGTACGGGGCTGCTATGGGACGGGATCTCGGGGATGCAGTAGTAACAGGGGGGGTGTGCTGAAGAGACTGACCTGTGTCTCCCTCCTCTTTCTCTTCCTCCTCATCCCCTGGCCCCCTTGCTTCCAGAGTTCACCCGGGAGGTGACGGACACTCAGATGCCCTTGGTGGCCCCAGTGATCCTCCCGGAGATGTACAAGATCTTCACCATGGCTGAGGTACCCAAGGGGAGGGGGTAGGGTCAAAGGGCAGGGTCCAGTGCTGTCTGGGGCTTGTGTGGCATTGAGGGGGATGAAAGGACCTGGACAGCACGGATCTGTCCCAGAGCGAGGTCAGAGAAGTATCACCTGGCCTGGCAGCTCTCCACACCTCGACAGCTGGTGCTGTAGTTCTAATTAATAAAGATTCTTGCCTCCATGGCAGAATAGGTCTTCACATTTTCCCTGTAAATAGGTTACATAGATTATTCGATTTTAATTGACAGGGCAGTAGGATATAGTTATCTTCTCTCTGTTGCACTAAACTACTAGCATTTACTTGCTCTCTTGCTAGAAATGAACTTTCTGTGCACAGCCTTTTTTATAGTTATGGTAGGTGCTTATAAGGCTATCGATATGTCGCAAACATGCTGCATTGATTACTCATGTTAATCACATAAAACGATTTTAGGCCGATCGTTAGTGATCAGACTGGCCAGTATAGTGATTTGTCATGAGTTTCTAGCGTGAGCTTTGTTGCAGGAAGAATGAATTGAAACACTGCCTGTTTAAGGGATAGTTACAGTCATGTATGAGGCAGGTGCCAGGACTGCCAGTGGTCGGCGCTGGTGGGCTGGGCGGCGGACACAGAGTGAGCTGGCCCTATGCTCTATCCCTACAGGTCTACAGCATTCGAACCCGCTCCCGAGCCGTGGAGATCTTCACCACGTGTGCCAACCTGATCTGTGCCATCGAGGAGCTGGAGAAGGTAGAGGGAGGGCTGGGCGCGGGGTGTTGCTCTGGTAGAGGTGTAATCAGACAGTGCAGACCTACAGACCAGACCTGCGCTGTGTTTCTGTCCAGGGGGCTGCCAAAGCCCTGATCTTCCCCGTGGTCCAGCAGTTCACAGAGGCGTTCATCCAGGCGCTGCAGATGCCCGACGGGCCGTCCTCCGACAGTGGGCTCAAGATGGAGGTGCTGAAGGTGAGAGACAGGGCAGGACGTGGATGAGGAGACCTCCAACCTCCACATCCAAGCCTTGAAGCAAGAAAGAAGTTTGGGGAAAAATATTTTATCAGAAAAGCTAAGAAAAACCACTAGACTTCTTTAAATCTGTACTTCAGACTATGGCTTTGGACTGGAGGTGGAGCAAGTTTAGGTTTGCATCCAGTGTGGTGTTATAGATGAGACTTCCCTCTGCAGTATTAAATAAGCCTGAATGGTACACTGTTTTTGCTAATATGGAAGGTACAGAAGTGCCTTGGCAGTTCAGGTGGGTAGCTGCGTCAGCATGTGTTGGGTTCAAAGGAACAAGTAATAGTTTTATTCCATGCTGAAAAGGGAAGAAAGAAAATGCTACGTTTCGGCACCTGAAGAAGGCTCCAAGGCCGAAACGTAGTGTTTTCTTTCTTCTCTTTTCAGCATGAAGTGCTTTGGCGCTTTGGTGATGTCTGTTCTTTTAAAGCTTCTCCTGACACAAAACTTCGTTTGCGGGCCTTTTGAATAGTCGGAGCTCTTGCGACACCACCTCCAGGCAGAATCATTTCTCATGGAGTTCAAAGGGATTAATTAATAGAGCCAGGCTTTCCTGAAGCCCCCAGACCTGATGGAAACCAGACTTTATCTATTTCCTCATGACGCTTTCTGTTCCCAGTTTTCCATTTTTATCTGCTGTTGGTCTTCAATTTTACATTGGAACCAGCCTGTCAGACTGTGGTGTTCAGGCTAAGCAGCGACTGGCGCCGTCTTGAAAGACGAGTACAGTAGATAATTTGACAGGCAAAAGCCCCGATCACAGATCATGGGACCAGATAATAAAACCTGCCTGAAGATGTATTTATTCTGTTTCAATGCAAAATGGCTTCCGGGTGACAAGAATGTGAGAATGTGCATGCCGTGTGGTTTGAATCCCAGCTGATCATCGCTCTTCCACCTCTCTCCCCCTCCCTAGGCAGTGACTGCGCTGGTGAAGAACTTCCCCAAACACATGGTGTCCTCCATGCAGCAGATCCTGCCCATTGTGTGGAACACTCTGACTGAGAGTGCTGCCTTATATCCATCACCCTGAGGCCAGCCGGCGCGTGTGGGAGTGTGTGTGTTAGAGAGCAAGTGTCTTCAGCTCAACTGAGGGGGCAGGGGCGTAAAATGGAGAGAAAGCCAAACACGTCATGACAGGAAAGGCTCAGAAGGACAGCGAGGTGCTACAGCTTGGCCCTAGCCTGCTGAGATCGTGGTTGTCAAGTGGTGGCACTCGGCTGGCGCCCATCAGGGCTGTAGGTGTGGGGAGGGCGTTACCCTTGCAGGGGGTCTGTCTTTTCAGCAGGGAGTGATGCGCAGGCAGGCTGGCGTTCATGTGGGCGAGAGAAGGGCCGCCGTCTTGTTGGCCACCATAGAGCTTGCAGAGACCGTGTCTGCATGTCTAGTTCCATCCTGAGCAGGTCTGCCCGACAGGCATTGTTTCTGGAGAGGTACAATATAATTGGCTGTTCTACATTGGGTGGGCCCTATAATAAAAAAATTGGGATATCTTTAAGGAAAGAAAATCTTTCTGGGAGCTGAGAAACCAACTCAGCTGTACCCACCCACTTCTACCAGCTGTGCTGAGCCACAGATCCTGACCTGCCTGTGGGCATTTTGAATACAAAGTTGTTTGTGTGTTCAACGGAGAAAATATATAAAGTAATAGATCCCTGCGTTTGGTTTTCCTGATGCAAATGCAGGTGTCCACCCCACTGGTTTTTGCTGGGTCAGCAGTGTGCTTATAAGATGAGGGTGAGATCAGGCTTTGGGGAGCCCCAGGAGGGAGGATTCATGACGCTGAGCGATTTGTGTGTGGTGACCCCAGCCAGAGAGAGGCATGGTTGTAGTACTGGGAATGTACCACTGTCTTCTGCCTAGGGCTGCTGCTCTCACCCCCATTATGTATACATGTTGTCATGCCAAGGCTTAAGGGTGGCATGGCACCACACCGTATTAAACCACCCATCGGAATAAAAGAAATAAATAGAATAATAGGAATAACATGCTGCCGCTTCACCGCACTGCAGCCATTCTCTTCTAGCTTCTGTCAGCTCATGTGGGCTCCTTAACCCTCTGCGTACTTATGTCAGGACGGAGGTCAATGACACGGAAGAAGTGGACGACCCTGTGGACTCGGATGGTGCGTGGGCTCCGGAGGGGGGCGATTTTACAATTGCGGGACGCCGAGGGCGCCTTGTGGGATTGTCACTTGGGACCGGATCCAGCCTGCCTTGTCGCCTGCCTTGTCGCCTTTTTCCCCCCGCTTTGCCTCCTGGGGCGGCCATCTGTCAAAAGATGATCAGGAGCGGGCGAAGTTTAACGTGCAGGGCTGTGGCTTGCAGGCTGTTCTGGGTGCGGGTTCTGGGTCTTGTCTGAACCACAGACCGCGGCAGGCGAGTCCAAACCCGTGAAACAGCCTGTGCCGGTACTGTCAGAGAACGTGCGCAGTGGCAGTTTTATTTTTAAAAGCTTGCGAGCTTCACAAGAGAGGTAAGAAACCCAAACTGCTCAATCGTATGGCTGCCGTATTAGAAACACTAGTTAGCCTGTACGGTTGTTTCCTGGCAGCGATCGCTGCTGTTGTTGTAACTCCTCCTCCGTCTCCCCTTCCCCCACAGGAGAGGTGCTGGGCTTTGAGAACCTGGTGTTCAGTATCTTTGAGTTCGTCCACACCCTCCTGGAGAACAGCAGGTTCAAGAGCACAGTGAATAAAGCTCTGCCCGAGCTCATCTACTACATCATCCTCTACATGCAGATCACGGAAGATCAGGTATGTAGCCACGTGCTAGCACAAGCATCGCTGTGAAGAGTACAGGCGTCTCTGCTATAACGCGATGGATGCATTCCTGTAAAACCTTGCTTTATGCAAAATCGCGCAATAAAAATAACAGGACTTATGGGGAAAATTGGGGTTAGGGGCAGACCACTCACAACCTAACCAAATGCCTAACCAAAACTTTTCTAATATCCTAATAAAAATGTTAGCACAGTTTAAATGCATGTTAAACTCATAATAAATAAAGAAATACTACAGCAAATTTAGGAAAAAAAGTTGGGAAGTCCACTGTAAAAAGTTAGGAAAAAGTTCACCACCTGAAATGTTATCACCAGCACCCTTCTTAGACGCATTGCCACCTTGTCCACTCTTATTTACAGCAATGCAGAAGATTTTGTGAAAATAGCATGCAAATTAAGGAGCACCTCCCAGTTAGTGCTTCCAAAACAAAACACGTGGGACAATGGAACATCATGTGTATTCCTCTGTGGATTGCTGCGTTACTCCGAAAACGCAAAACGTAAACATGTCTGGGATGAAATTGCGTATAAGCCATCGTGAGTTTTGGAAACTCGCATAATAGCAGCGATCGCTGTACTTTGCTTTCTGAAGAGGAACTGTGAAGGGACAGAGTCTAGGTTCTAAAAGGTTAAAACCTAAAATTTAGGTTTGAAATCTCATCGGAATCACATCTTCTCCTAAACCAAACCTACAGCAAAGTTCTCAAATGTATTCTACCTTTAAGTGCAGTGAATCGAAAATGTGATTGTTTTACCTGACAACATAGAAATGAGGAGGACATTTGTCCAGTCTGTTTGGTACTTGCCAGCTAATTGATCCAAGGATTCTCATTTGTCTTTTATCCCAGACATCCACATGACAATCCCATGTCTGCTTTCCTGAATTTCTGAATTTTTGACTCTCTGTACAGTGTAAAAGTCACAGTTCCCTTATGGCTCTCTGTTTTCCTCTCTCTGTCTTGATCATTTGGAAAGAGGATTTCCTCTGAGAGGTGTGAGCTAATCTGGAAATAATCGCAGTCCTTAACAAGCTAACATGTCTGTATCTGCCGCTGTTCTCCCTCGACAGCAGCGATGAAGAAGCAAGTACTGCTCAGCTCCTATCCGATAAAAGCCTTTCTGACGTTGTCCTTATTCCTGCGCAGATCACGGTTTGGACTGCCAACCCGCAGCAGTTTGTTGAAGACGAGGATGACGAAACCTTTTCCTACTCTGTGCGAATCTCTGCCCAGGACCTGCTGTTGGTAAGAGCTGGACTCTGTGATCTCTGAGAGCTCACCCTGTCTGGGTATACTGATTCTCTTGCCTGTGGTGGTGGTGGTGGGGAGGGGATACTGCAGTTTTATCAGTTCTCAACTGCAGCCACTGGCGTGAGATGTAATCTGAGACTGTAGAGCAGACCTGGAGAGCACTGTGTGAAATGACATTTAGACTGTAGTTACAGTTGCGCTGGTGGGGTGGGGGTTGGTGAGGCCCTTATAACCAAGTGGCAGTAGAGACTCAAGTAATAAATAATAGTAGTAATAATAATATTATTAATGACTCCTCTCCACCACCACCAGTGTGCAGCCCCACCTGGATGATGCAACGGCAGCCATAGTGACCAGTACCCTCACCACACACCTGCTATCAGTGGGGAGGAGAACAGAGTGATGAAGCCAGTTCAGAGAGGAGGATTATTAGGAGTATGATTGGTAAAGGCCAAGGGGAAATTTGACCAGGAATTTTTAAAAACCATGGAAATTCAGGGCGGTGCCTTTTATATAGTATAGAATACTGTCCCCTGCTGGTCCTGCTAACATCTCTTTCAGCAGCACCCTTGGTTTTCCCAGGAGGTCTCTTATCCAGGTACTGACCCGGCTCATACCTGCTGAGCTTCGGCGGGCTGCCAGTTGTGAGTTGCAAGGTGATATACCTGCTGGCTGCTTGTGGCTGATTGTGACTTTTGAATCATTTTGGCCTGTGCCCAAATCCTTTTGGTGGCTGCAGAGTCAAAGGACACCCAGTAAAGGTGCTGCCTCCCAAGCTCGTCGTGTCCTGTGGTATCCTGGGTTCAAGCCTGGGCCAGTGTCATGCCGTTTGTGGACTCGGATCCCACAAGGCGCAGTGCAGAGCAGGGCGTCTCCAGAGTTACAAGCCCCAGGTTTGCCCCCTCAGACATGCAGCGCCTCTCCCAGGTCGTACGGAGAGGGGTGTGTCAGTGGGAGCACTCCCGTGTGTCTCACCTGGGCCAGAGCAGGTGGAGGTGTTGTTACTGGTGTTAAAAATATCTGCCCATTCTGAACTGGAAAGGCGTTGTGGAAAGAAATGTACAAGCTGGGTTAGCGTTGCTGCTTCACTGCGCTGGGGTATGGGTTCAGCTCTGGAGCTGGGGTGCCATCTGTGTGGAGTTCGTATGTTCAGTTTATTTTTATATAGTGCCTTTCACAACAAGGTTGCCCCAAGGAGCTTAAGTGACCATACATGTTGTGAATACACAACAGAAAAGACCAGAAGACAATGGAGGAAAGGAACCAAAAACTCTAGGGGTCCAAGGTCAACTGGCTGCCCTTTGGGCATGCTAACATTATTCAATTAAAAAAATGAATACAGGTTTTAATCCATCGATCCAGCTCCATGCAGGTCTCTGTAGACCAGCAAAACAGTATGTTCTCCCCATGTTTGAGTGAGTTTTCTCTAGGTGCTCTGATTTCCTCTCACACTCCAAAGACACGCTGGGAGGTTAATTGGCTTTTGGGAGAATTGGCCCTGGTGTGAGTGTGTGAGTGTCTGTGTGTGCCCTGTGATGGACTAGTGTCCTCTCTAGGGTGTATCTTGAGCCCGTCGCTTGGCGGGAGAGTCTCTGGCACTCCCGTGACCCTGAATTGATTAAAAAGGTTCAAAAATGAGTGGATGTGCAGCCTCACCTCACAACGATGTAGGAGGCGTTTCCAGCTCTCCTGCAGCGGTAGCGGTGTTCTGACGAGAGCTCTCTCGCCCGGCAGGCTGTGGCCACCGAGTTCCAGAATGAGAGCGCGGCGGCCCTGGCGGCCGCTGCCACACGGCACCTGCAGGAGGCAGAGCAAGCCAAGAACAGCGGCAACCAGCACTGGTGAGCGAGCAGGCAGGAAGTGACATCATTGTCGCCACCTTGCAATAGGCAGAGCTGTGCGCAGCTGTCACCTTCTTCTATTATCACCAGCTACTGGGCGACAACAGGAGAAATTTGAGTCACAATCGGTGCAGTGGACGTATTTGGTCAGTTGTGAAAAGGTGTAGTGATTCCTTTCATCAGATATAGGGTTTAATTTGGCTGTTTCTCCTTATATATTTTGTAGTTTTGATGTCTGAGCTTTATTATTATAAGAAGACAACCGCATACAAGCTAAGCCTTAGGTTTATCTGCATCTGAAGAAATTTGTACTAACACTGTTGATGCCCTTTCTGTTACAAATCCTACTAAATATCTAGTGACCAAGGATGACCTGTTATGTTTTCATCTTTAATACCTTGGAGTTCAGTGACATTTGATAGGTTTTATTAATATCATTTGAAAATTCTGATAAAAAAAATCAATTAGTAGCTTTCTAGAATCAATATTTCTAGTCCATAGACTTTTCAAAGAATGTTTTTTGAACTTTATGAACCCTGTGCCCTATAACACTTTGTGTCAAGGGTGATTAGAGTAAAAACAGTTGCAAATCATGTTCACTGAAGACCTATTGCTGTCTGTCCCCCGATGTTCTGATTGGCTGTGCAGTGCCTTGCCCCCTTTTCAGAACTGTCTGAGATTGGCTGTTGTGGCCCACCCCTTTCTCAGAGCTTCCCTGATTGGCCGTGTGTTCGCAGGTGGAAGATCCACGAGGCCTGCATGCTGGCCCTGGGCTCTGTGAAGAGCATCATCACTGAGAACGTCAAGAATGGGAGAGTCCAGTTCGACATGCACGGCTTCCTCACCAATGTCATCCTCTCCGACCTCAACCTCTCGGGTCAGAAGCACCACGTTTAAGCTTAAAATACATTACCAGCGGGACAGCACAACAATCTTGTCTATCCTACTAGCAAAATTTTTTTCTTATTGTTTCCTGAGTTAATTTCCAGTAACAGGGGTCTCCAAGCGTGGTCCTGAGGGAGCCTCAATCTTGTTAGTCTTACAGGTCACCTGTTTCTAAAGCCTGGCAACAGCTGAGTTATTGATGAATCAAGCGAGTAATTATTCAAATAATAATCTGATCCTTCAGGGCTGGAGAGCAGGTTAGGCTTTAGTTCCTAAATTATCTCTATATGACTAACTTTACTAGATCACCTGTTTAATTGATCACAATGGATTGGTTGGTTTAATGGTGACCTATAACACCTACTCGAGCTGGAAATCCCCGTCATATGTAGTCAGTGTTATTAGAATGTCTGTCTGTTGCAGAATAGCCTAGAGCTAAAGCTTTTACTATAGTGAATTTATTGATCATGATCAAAGACTTTGGTTTCATTTTGTATTTGGTTGTTTAAACCTTGTTTAGATGGGGTTTTTTTTTCCAGCTGGAGAAAGTTGAAAGTCTTTTTAATTGCAATGCAGAGTTATTGGAGATGGCCCTCTGTGTCTGCCACAGTGCTGCTGGTGGTAACTGTCTCTCTCTCTTGGCCTTCAGCTGCCTCTCCGTTCCTCCTGGGCCGGGCTCTTTGGGCGGCCAGTCGCTTCACAGCAGCCATGTCCCCTGAGCTGATCCAGCAGTTCCTACAGGCCACTGTGAGTGGTCTGCATGACAGCCAGCCCCCCTCCGTAAGGATCTCAGCTGTCCGGGCCATCTGGGGGTGAGGCTCTCTGGCACTGATATGCTCTCTCGCACGCCCGCCGTCTGAGACACCCGGCCGCTGGCGCGGGCTCTCTCGCACGCTCTCTCGCACGCCCGCCGTCTGAGACACCCGGCCGCTGGCGCGGGCTCTCTCGCACGCCCGCCGTCTGAGACCCCCGGCCGCTGGCGCGGGCTCTCTCGCACGC